TAGCTATTTCTTCGGGCTTTGTGCATATACTTTTTTTGACCTAGTTATCAGTGGGCTCTTTCTTGTTGAGCCGTTCATTTTCAGCGGTTTCAACTTGAAAATGTCAATCTGACATGCGCGAACTAAATTTCCATTGGCGGGGTTTTGAAACAGGTAGTTTAAACTCCCTTCTTATCTTACCCTTCCCTGTTAAAAACGCTTATTTACTTCCCATGTTTGTTATTGTTCCACTTCATTGAACACAATACGTTTATTTGAATAAGAATTATCCTGGCTTGACACAAAACAAGTTTGTTATTCAAAATTTCGTGTTTCAGTTTATAACAAAAAAAGGAAATTGATGCGATTCAGCATTCAGTTGTGACTGTCATCGATGTCATATTTCTAGTAACAACAAGGTGGGATTAATTTTTTTGTTTCGTTTGATAACGGCTAGAGAATAATCCAAAAGTTTGCAGCTAAGTCTGTCAGTGAGGTAAATTAGACCGATCGAACTTTTTACATAATAGAAAATAATGACAACAACACACACACAAAACATAAAACTAAACAAAACCAAAAAAGAAGCAACCCCCAAGCTCTCTTCTTTCTAGATGAAGCTATATGTAAACATGGATAAAGCCCTCATTTGCTTGAATACTTCAAATTTGTCTTCGTGCGTGCGTAAAATTATGCACGCAACACAATATTACGTAATTTCAATTAATGACGAGCAGTGCATTGTTTCGTCATTTGAAGTCTATCAACAACGGAAAGTATGGTGCCAATAGAGACCCCGAGACAATCCGACATTTGGCTTAAAGGAAAGCCTTCGTCAAATCTTAATTATCTTCGCAAAAGTGGCATAGATCCATGCAGAATCCTGGAGCCTAAACGAAAGAAATTACAGTCTCTAGAGGCTGAAAGAATTATGACCGTTTTTCGAGAAACAGTTCGGCGAATGGAAATCACTACGGCTCTCCCCTATATACTCAATTCATTAACCCGATTTTCCATTATTTTCGGCCAGGATTTGACATCGCGTTTAATCAGCCATTTACACTTGCAACATGCTTACAAAGAGGCACTTGCCGCGTTGGAGGGAAGTTTAAGGCAGAATGTCGAGCATGAATCTCGTAAAGAAGGAGATACCAAGACAGAGACTGGATCAGGCAATGTACAATTTAGTAATAACCCCATTGTTAGCATTACTTCGGCGAATGGAAATCAGTTAAGATATGATCTTAAGATGGAAGTGGAATTTCTGGAAAAAGGAATTAAAAGCTCATTGAGGGAAATACTCAGGTTTTTTAAAAAGAATCCGAAAGCGATTGAAATAGTCACAGGTGAGAAAAGGATGTAAATAATGGTGCTAGTTATTTGTAATTCCACAAGATGTGTGTTTTCTTGCACTTACCACCTAGAGTAGCGTACCAAAGCCATTAAGTTTTAATTTCTACATTCTAATCTTCCTTCTGAAACCTGTAAATAAAAAATCCTTTGAGTTATTTTTGTTTTCTTTATATGTTTATCTCTTACTCACTGCCTTGCGACTCAGTAAAGTCATAAATGTTTAATTTTTGCAGGCAGATAAACCTCTGTTTTTTCCTTAAAACATTATTTTCATGCTGCAGTGATTTCCATTCGCTTGTTTTCTTGTAAACAGAGAGCAAACCAGTCCGCAACCAAGAGCATACAGCTCTATTGAACAAGCTGACATCGGTAGAAAGTATCATGAAAGAGAGGCTAATGACATCACCATTCGAGGAACAAGAAATGAGATCAAAGTTAACGGATATTATTGAAAGAGAAAAGAAAACAACTGCATTACGAGAAAAGCTTGAGATAAATTACCAGGCGGCTGTAGAAGCAAAGCAGTCTGAGGTAAATTCACGGTTATATGTACTGGGTATAAGCCCATTGAAACAGAAATAATAATAATAATAATTTTAATAATAATAATAATAATTGTAACACAAAAGGAAAAATGAAAGTTGTTTAATGTATCTGGTTTAATCTAAGGAAACAATCTTCCCCAAGTCCCGACGACCAGTTAGGTGATATTGCAATACTTTGCGCCGAACTGAACTCTTGGCGAGCTAGAATGCATATCAGTATTGTGAGTTATTTTGTCTCATGCGGATCCTGACATACATATCGATGACCTATGATCGTCGAGCAATATCGAAAGAGTCCTGTGTGGTGATTAGGATAGCATGGTGGCAAACCTTATCTCGGTCATGAAATTGCGAAAATGTAAAATTCGTGTCATGATCAAGGGGTCGATTAAAAGTCTCAGCCCATTTAGAGATTCGAGGTTAGTGACTTCAGATTAGGATGCTCTATCACTGAGTTCCTTGGGAGTCTCGCATATCGTCAGGATCAGCGACGTCAACATGTAGAGTGCAAGATTTAGGAGTTCTTACCCTTCTTTGAATTTCTACAGTAAATACAAAGTTTATAAACTCTTTCAGATTTCTGAACGAGATACAGCAATTCTGCGGCTTCAGCTAGACTTGCAACTGATCGAAAAGATTCATTCTGAACAACAGCGACGAACTTTGACAGAAGCCTTTAAACAATGTTCCCAGGAGAGCGAAGCGTCAAAGACTAAAATAGCAAAATGTTATGAAGATATAAACCTGTGTAGAAAGAAAATCCAAGAAGATAAAAAGGAACATCGAGCAAATGAAAACCTCATGAGAAAGGTTGGATGTTAATGTATACTTGTAGAGCCTTTGTGGATGTTGGTTACTTCACTTTCACCCTTCCAATTGCAATCTCCCTCTTTCACGATCACTTATACCCTGTTAGAAATTAGGGAAAGAAATAAGACAACTGAAGTAACAAAAGTCGTGATATTAGGGATATTATAATTCCTAGTAGGAGACTCCTGTGAGAAGATTATTGATAAATATCTGACCTGTTTCATGACACCCCTTCACTTTTGTGATCATTAGAGGAGATTCAAGATAGCGACGGAAGTCTTCAACTGGGTCCAAAAATACGATGCAGATTTAAGTAGTAGACAAGTGAGTGATCTTTGTTTTAAATGTAAGATGCCTCCTTAAAAGATCTTCCTTCAACTTTATTTAACCATACAAGATTCGTCACATCTTTGAGGTGCTCTAAATTAAGGAAGTTTATATATCCTTAGTGATATCACCCTTGCATTTATTCGGTGGGCCAGCGTTCATTTCTTAACTCATCTCGAGAGGAATACCGAGCTTTATTGATCTCAGTTGTTGATAACGAGTTGTCCGTACTTATTGCAATGACTAATAGACGTCTGCTCGGAGACATAAGGCTTAACAAGTAGATGAGTTCGATTACATGTGTGCATACTTATCATACACCTATCCAAGCAATCTCCATTCACCAAAGAAATAGCTGGTGACTTGAACTGGATAGCACCATACCATCCCTTCTGTGGGCGGAATTTGTTACGCCGCGAAACTGCGAAAATGCATTTCCCATATAAGGGCACCAAATATGTAAATCTTGAATATACATGTGACAAACAACAGGCCTTATTTATCGTTGCCAATTTTTTAGCAAAAAGACCTGCCAATAAGTTACCTTCCGTCGGCTTTGATGGAGATTAAGT